AAACTCGACTCAAAGTACAATAATTAGTCTTATTAACTTTAAAAATCGAGCAAAAAAATCAAGCACAAACATATATTAAGTAAGAAAAGCTTTATTCTTCCATCAAAGTAAACTTATCAAACAAACTCAACTCAAAGTACAATAATTAGTCTTATTAATTTTAAAAATCGAGCAAAAAAATCAAGCACAGACATATATTTGCTTGTGATTTTAAAAAGCATGCTTCTTGGGTGCCTATTTTTAAAAAAAAATCATAAGCACAACGTTTTTGGAACTTAATATTTGCAATCGGACACACGTATGCACAGACATATCCAGTACTTTATGCAATAATCTATTGAAAAAAAAATAAAAATAATCCATGATCTCGAAAGAGTAAAAGAAATGGACAAAAAGTAATCCATCATTTCTATAGGAAAGAAATGAATGAAAGGGGGGTTATTGTAAGCCTGAGGCTTTAATGTCATCTAAATGCTTCCTTATTTTAATTTCAAAAAACACGAACAGCCTATGAATATTTCAAACCACAACAAACTCAATGAAGTCTTTCTCATTTATAAGATAAAAGAGTTTCAAAATTGTTCACAAACAAAGAAAAAAGCTAGACAAAACTAACCTATGATAAACTGCAAGGAAAATTCGTAGGTTAAACTAAACCAAGGAAAATTATGTACTTCACACTGCATGTCAAATTCGTTACTAACCATCATTATGCTCATGTACAGCAATAACATTTATCAATTCTTAATGTACACACGTAGAATATAGTGCCCTTCCATATGTTCTAATTTAAACTCGTGCATGTAGGAAAGGGAACCTGAGACCACATCTCAAACTGGCACCTTGTCCTGCAAGCCTAATGAAGCCATGAAGTATGTTGGTTGTCCTCAATTAGAAACAACCATTAGCATTCCTTAGCTCCTCACCATCCTCTCACCCTATGTTAAATAACCTTCAATATAGTTTCTCAGCTTTTAAGATTTGCATCTATAGATCAATCAAAAGAATTGCATATCAAGAGTGATAATAAGAAAGAAAAAAAAGGGTAACTTTATTGCTCACCTTAAACATGCTAAATACTGCTTCATTCCAACTTGTTTTCAATAGTTTCCTGTATCCATCAGGATTGAGAAGCCATATAAAATCTACATCGCAGGTATTTCCCCAATGATTAGGATGGCTAACCCACTATGTGAACAAACAAAACACGAGAAACCAATATAAGTTACTACATCATTTTCATCAGAAGTAATTGAGATTATCAACTAAATGTGAAGTAGTGACCTTGTGCACATCTGCATCAGTGTACTGATGAGCAATATCATATGATGACACAAACCCTTGAGATCTAAGGAATTTGTAAACATGACCTCATTTGCTTCCATTCCAGTCACTGAAAGGGGAAAAGAAATTTGTCATATCAAAAATACTTGGTAGTTTGTAAGACCACTCAGACAAGAATACAATTACTCAGAACTTACATGCACAATATAATGGGCAATGGATTAAGCTTATTTTCCTTCTGATATGACTCGACATGCTGCAAGATTTTGTAGACCTATTAGAAGACACACAAAATACAGGTTAAGAATACGAACACCGAATAATATGAAAATGAAGTGAGATGCATACAAACCAACAGTTTGACAAAGTAGTTTATCTATCCACCTGATGCAATTGTTCCAGACAATAACTTGAATCATGAGGAAATAATAAATGGGTGTTCACTATAAGAATTTCTTGCCGAACATTGTTGCTACGATATTGTGTTTAGGGTGCGACTAATTCAACATATAATAGCTTAGCAACACGATCTGTTCTAATTTAAACCACAAACTAAACAAAAAGAAAGCAACTATTCCACTAATATATTGAATAGACCAATTAACCATGAACAATGTATATAATGGGGAAAAATAATGAACCATTGTGAAAAATAGGGGTAGAGGAGAGAATTTTGTGTGTGTGTGTGTCTTGTGTTTGTGTTGGGTGATGAAGACAAAGAAAGGGATACGAAGACGGCCAGAGAATGACAGAGACAAATCACCACCAAACTCGGACTTAAAAGGAAAAAGAATTTTATTGGTGTAAAGGATAGAAACCGCTACGGGATTTCAACCCTCCACTCGAAGGATTTCGGCTGACCTGGCAGCACCGAGCCCTAGTAGCCTTACCTCTCTTCGCCCGTAGGAGCTTGTCTAATATCGGAAGAGAGTCGTCTCCCCCCCTCGCATATAAACCCTTGCACTCAAAGGAGGAGGTACCCACTAGCACTTAAACAAGCTCCTCACAAGGGCTTATATGCGAGGGGGGAGACGACTCTCTTCCGATGTGGGACAAGCTCCTACGGGCGAAGAGAGGTAAAGGCTACTGGGGCTCGGTGCCGCCAGGTCAGCCGGAATCCTTCGAGTGGTGGGCTGAAATCCTGTAGCGATTTCTACCCATTACAATTGGTAAATATTTCTCTATGGCATTTTAACAAACACTTCATGTGCCATTGATTGGAGCTGTGGGGAAGGGGTGTGGTCATGCTAGTAACCGAAGATGGAAGAGAAAAAGGGAAAAAGAGAAAGAGAGGGAGGGACAAAGGAACAGATAACTGGAGAGTGAGAATCGTCGCTGCTGGCGGTGTGAGAGTGAGAGAGGAATAGAGCTGTGGTGGGTCGCTGTTTGGACAAACAGAAAAGAGAGAAAGATAGATCAGTGAGAGGGGTTAACGGTTAGGTGAGAAGGGAGGAGAGAGAAGAAGTAAAATTTGGGGAAGAGTGCTTGACAGAGATGGATTTGTGGGAAACGTCTAGGATGATTTTGGGGAAAAATGAGAGGTTATCGGTGGCTGTTGGATGAATTGAATTGAGCCCGTTGTCGAAGTTGTCCTGTTTTATTGGAATAAAATTATCTGTTGAAATAAAACTAAAAAATTAAATAAGGGGTCTAAGTCATTCTTAATATAACATGAATTTACAACTAAAATTCAAGTTCTATTATTTTATTTATTTAATTAAAATCAAAAATAAAAATCTAATTTAAAAAAAAAATATAGTTAGTTTACAATTATAATATCTATTAGAATAAAATTAAAAAATTAAATAAGGGGTCAAATTGTAATGAACACAATATCTTTTAGTTTTAATATGGATAATTTGGTATTTTAATTTGGTCGTTTAAACGACTACATTAAATTCTAATAAATAATATAATTGTATACTAATTATAATTTTTTTTAAGAAAAATTTAAATTTAAATATTTTTATTTTATTTTAATATATGACACAATAGAACATGAATTTTAATTGAAAATTTTAAAATATTTAATATTCTATTTTTGATTGAAATATTTTTGGTCTAAATATAATATTTTAAACTTAAAGGGTCTAAGTAATATATGTTTACAAACTTTAGGGAGTCTGAATATAATTTATTAATGAATATATTTACAGCAAGGGTCTAAGTGTTTCGCACGTACAAATTTTAAAGGATCTAAGTGTAATATTTTAAATATCAGGGGTCTGAGTGATTAAGTGACAAACCTCAAATAGTGTGAATGTAATTCTCCCAAAAAAATATTTGGGTGACGTGTGTGTTTGTGTGTGTGTGTGTGTGTGTGTTTAAAGTGGGCAAGAGGATGGATTTGGGTGGGTTAGATTGTGAGACATTAGATTAGATATAAGTAGATGGGTTTAGAAGAGATCTGGACCATTTATTTAAACTTTAATTAATTTTTAACCGTTGTTCTGCTTTTCTAAATTGGGAGAGTTGATTTCAATTGAAATTTTTTTAATTTGTCTCTATCTTATTAATATAGATGTGTGTGTTGTTTTTGTGTTGTGTATTTTATTCTTTGGTTGTAATAGTTGATTCGAGTTATGTTTTCTTTTAAGTACTTGATTGTACCAATAATTGACTTATTAAAACAATCAAAATTGTGTTTTCCTACTTTTACGAAAAACTGTCAAACTTTGTAAAAATTGTGTAAAAGAACAAAAAAAGTTTTGATTAACTATTGTCGATTTTTTTATTCAGCATAATATAATGTCTTTACAAGAATATTCATATTGGTAATACTTGGTTGAGCATGTATGCAAAGTGTTAGTGTGTTAAGGATGCAATTTAGGTTCAACTTAGTGCGTGTTCATGTTCAATGTTTGATTTTTTTGAGTCCACAACAATGTTTGATTTTTTTTGTGAATTATATAATACTTTTAGAGATAGGTTATCCCTATCTATAATAATAAGATGCAACCCAAATTGAATCAGTTAGAACTTAGAAATACCTAGACGCCACTACTCACACAAGAATTTGTGCATGCACTCCTTGATGTTTATGACCAACCAACTAGATTGAGAATTAACGATGATGTACAATATTTTTTTTTCTTCTTTGATTGTGTTTAAGATTAATGTTTACTTTTTTTTTTGAATTACATCGTGCCTTTAGATACGGGGTTAAAGTTCAGACATTTGTGTAGTGGTAACTCCTAGCTCCAAAGAAGATGAAGTTGAAGGAACCTGTTTCTCTCTTTGTGCATGTGTGCTTTGTGTGTGCAATTTGCATATGTTTTGTTTGTTCCATGTTTAGTTTAGCAAACTAATTACATATGGTTATGAGAATATGTTTAGTTTGATGTGAATTGACGATTGGGTATGTTATTGAGTTGTGATTAATGATAATTGTGGCAAAAATAAAATTGAATTGTAGTGGTATGAGGCATTATGATGATTGAATTATAAATTGTGAGATCTCTAAACAGATTGAAATTTTCTTAAACACCCTATTTTTAGAGAAAGTTTTGCTGAAATTCTACAAAATTAGTGGTGATTAGATTAATTTCAATTTATTTAATTGAAGCAAATGATGTAAAATTATTTCAAATTGACAATTTCTTTTATGTTGTAAAGCGACTTTCGGCACGGTAGTATTCTTCAAGTTTTAATTCAATTTTTTGTTACTTCATGCTTACAAATAACCCAACCCACTCTGACATGCTTAGCCGACCCTCCTACTCTTCTTCCTTTGTGCTTGTGGCTTCTTCCTTTGTGCTTGTGGTCCCTACCACCACCACCGCCACCGCCACAAATAGGCTGCTACCCACAAGAAGGGTTGTAGTAAGTCCAGTAACAGAACCAATGCCTATTAACACAGATACATATTTCAGATCTATTCCGAATTTTTTTGAAGGTACTGTGTATAAAATATAAACAAGAAGGCTTCCCATTAGGCATAATTGGAAGTTCCACTAAAATACCATGTTGACAACGACAACAAAAGATTAAAAACAAAATGATCTAAACCAATGAAATAATGTATAGACTGCACTGTCCATATACAAATTCATCTACCCACAAAGTACCTGTGGTCTTGCAGATTCTTCAGCCGAATTAGCAACTGCATCAAATCCAACATATGCAAAAAATACCGCAGTTGCTCTGACTGTGGTGGATGTATGAGAGAGAAAACCATTTGGGGCTAAAGGTAAGAAAACTGACACATCAACCTTTAAAAAGCTCGAACTGTGGTGGGTGTGAGAAAGAGAGACACTCAGAGGATTAGAGTCAGGGTGGTGGGTGGTAGAGCAATGGTGGGCGGGTTTTAAGGTTAGTATTTGGGTGGTGCCACCAGAACAAGAAAGAAAGAAGATGGGAAAAAGGTGCACAATGAGAGTGGCCAGCCACTGCCACTCCAGTGGACCCAAAGGTCTCTCTTTAATCTATTCAAACTGTATTGAACCAGAGATTGGAGTAGGAAATTGGGCATATATAATCTTTAAACCGTGAAGTAATGCCCCCCAAAAGGGTAACTTCACTTTGAACATGCTTTACTGGCCACTTTTTTTTTTTATTTCTTCAAACTGCTAATAGTCCTTCTCTTTGGAAGACAATTTTTTCATATTAACCAGGATGCATCAAATTGGGAGAGAGAGAGAGAGAGAGTGACTGGGTGACTGCTAAATGAATAATCATCATTCATACAAGTCCAAAAAGGTTTTCACCCTTCACTCTGAAATGACACCTTTAATTGACAAATTTGATGAATCCACCCATTTATCACTCGAAATAAATAAGGGTAAGTTGTGTCAATCATGCATTAAAGAAGCAATTGTGTTTAGAATTATGAGGCCTAATGATACAAAGGTTGTATAACCACTCTATTATCATTTTCAATGTAACCTAATGCTGCATAATTGACTTAATGGGAAGATCAAAAACGAAAATCATTCTCATGATTTGCAAGTTATCGGCCCTCCATGATTGTGACAGTGAGATTGTTGATAGAACCCTGTTTTTGACTCTGATGAGAAGACTGTGTTCCTGAATAAACATGTCTTTCGATAAATGCAGGTTATTTTGGGGAAGGAAGATCTGTGATTTCACTACCAAGTATCGAAAGCACAGTCGACACATTTGGCCTCTCTTTTGCAAATTCTTGGATGCATAATAGTCCTACATGTATATATCTCAATATTTCCATTCTGAAGCGTGGATCAAACATCATTGGATCTACTAGAGCACCAACGTTAACTTCATTCCACAATTTCCATGCCTAAGCACATTAAGACGAGAATCTAGTGTTGGATTTGGAACATTCAATATCAACCAAAAAGGTAAGGCCCGTAAAGATTTGTCTTAGTAAATAAAATGAACTTACAAATCTTAGAAGGCTAAAAGAGTGCTCATCATCGTAAAAGCTGGTGTTTCTTCTCCCTGATATAATCTCTAATACCAACACTCCAAAACTGTAGACATCAGACTTTTCTGAGAATATTCCTGCCAATGCATATTCGGGTGCCATATAGCCGCTGTATAAAAATTTTTTTAGCATAAATAGTATATCATGAAGCAGTTTCGACAAAGAGATGTCTACTTACTATGTTCCAACAACCCTTCTAGTATTGGCTTGATCTTGGTTGCCTTAAAAAACCCTTGTCATGCCAAAATCTGAAATCTTTGGGTTTAGCTATTCATCCAGCAAAATGTTACTTGGTTTCAAATCTCTATGAATAATTCTTAATCTGGAATCTCTATGAAGGTAAAGTAGGCCACGACCAATCCCTTCAATGATGTTGACACGTTTACTCCAATCAATGAGTTCTTGTTTTAGTGAATCTGGAAGTTCCATTTTTGGAAGAAGTGTGAAAAGGTTGTAAGCTGAAGGAAATTGAAGGTCAAATGCCTATTATCTTCTTGCAATGAAGCAATAGTAATGCATAAGCAATGACTTAGGAAGTACAATTGATTTTCAACTAACCGAAAAGAAATGCATCCAAGCTTCCATTTGGCATGTATTCATATATCAACATCTTTTCTTCTCTTTCTACGCAGCAGCCAAGAAGTCGAACAAGATTGCGATGCTAGAGTTTAGAAATCACCACAACTTCATTCATAAACTCCTATAGACCTTGTCCAGAAAATCTTGAAAGTCTTTTCACGGCTATTTCTTTCCATCTAGCATTTTTCCCTAAAAATAATAGTCATCAATTTTATATGGTTCAACATGGCATAAATGTGAGATGAACTTGCATTACCATGTATACTGGTCCAAAACCACCCTGCTCCAGCTTATTAGTAGAATGAAAGTTATCTGTTGCATTTGTCAAATCCTCCAAACTATATAATGGCAGTTCTTCAAGATTAGTTTGGTGGGTATTCTCTACAAGCACGGTTTCAGTAGAATACTCTGGATACAGTTCTACCCTTCTAAATAATAATTGCTTACTTTTCTGTTTCCTTCCTGATGCTGAAAGAAATTAGTAATGATTTTTATTTGCAATGCAGATTTCTATATGCTTCTAAGATAATTCTCATAAACATACTACCTTTGTGTTTGGCCATCCACCTCCAAAAACAATATGCGCAGATTGCAATGGTTATTGACCCTATGCTTATTGTAATTGCGAGAACTGTTTTAATGTTCTTCTCTTTGTCTGTCAAATAGAACAAACTCTTAAGAGATTTCAGTATAAAATGAGCAAAAGAATTAAAGTTGCATTTGAATGGATGGATTTGCAAAAAGAAAACTATTGCAAACAACTTGAAACAGAAACAATATGCAAGGACTTTCAAGTTGACTCTCAAATGCAGTGGACATATAAGAATTCTGAACCAGCAAATAACCATAGTGGCAAAAGGAAAAGAAGATAAGTAGAAGCATAGGTGAAATTCACTGGTGACGAAACATATTACCAAGCTCTGAATATGCCACTCGAATGTAAAGATCCGCCCCACCATCCATGAATTTCTGGATGTCAATTAGACTTCCACTCCATTGCATACACCCAATTCCAAAGTAACCTGAATAAGCTGTACATGAACAGTTATTCAAGCACAGGCTTCCACAATTGTCTTCTAGACCAGGTACCCACACCTCAAAATCTGGTACTTTTACTCTTTCAAGCTTCAAAAATCCATCCCCTTTTCCCTTTTCATTGACTGTATTGTTTCTCTCACATTGCAATGGTGTCTTTCTTTTGCATCCACTAGACCAATTTCCTTGACTCCATTCATCCATATGCTTTGGCTCAAATCCCCTTAAACAGGTACAAATTGGTGAGTCCCGTGAATTACAGCTTCCAAATGGTCCACACTTGCCATAAACATCACACTCATTTTTTGGCGCCCACCACAACACGTACCAGTCTTCTTTCCCTACAAACCGACCCTTCTTTTGTAGAGATCCTTCAGAATTCAACTGGAGGTATAATACAATGGACTCATTGGCATAGCTGAAAGTTAGATCAACAGTTCTTTTTTTGTCATCGACAAGATTAAATTCATTGTCATATAATTTATGCATTGTTGGAATTCCTATAAAAACCTGACCATTCCAAGGACCACTACGCCAGTATGGATGACTACCATTCCATACAACAAATTGTGGGATGCTTAGAGGATCAATTCTTGCAGAGAAAGATCTAATGAATGGATCCGATGGACTTTTCCAAGATGTCAGCAGAGTCCTCTCACCTTTCTTTGCATCAGTACCAAGTCTCATCTTCTGTAAGAATGAGTCTGAAGGCTGTTGAAAATTCTCCCATATGATCCTTCCACTAGAGTTGTCTCGTAAGACAAGATTCCCAGTATCTAGAAGCTGGACACTTGAATTGGCCACAAGATTCGAAACATTTGATGACCAAATGACCTCCTTCTGCCCATTCAAGATTACCAGATTACCACCCTCGGATATCATCACAATCCCAGATGAATCATTCAAAGGCTTGTCTCTATTGGCAACCCATACAACAATCGTCACTGGGATGTTGTCCAAGATACCAACATAACGATTCGTAGTATTTACAGGACTAAAGAATCCCAGCTTGAAGGTCTTTCCAAGGGAGACTATAATTTCAGGGTCTTTGATGGATTGTGTAGATATAATTGTGTCTCTGGAAGTGCAAACCTCTAACCAAAAAAATAGAAGTATGAAAACAAGGCCATGAAAAAGTGAAAACTTCGGATTACAGGAACGTGCCATACGTGATCTGAGTGCTTGTTGGTGAGGAGGGAAGGCTATATGTGAGTTCTATAGACTTCCATGAACAATGTTTAATTTTCCTCACTTCTTCATGCTTTTCCAAGCGCTGGAAGATATTTTCATTCTTTTTGTGGAAATCTGACTCTCTTGAAAATACATTTCCAAACTGTCATCTTAAGAGTGTGGGGTTCACTACATGACAATGACCAATCATTGTCATTCATGTCTTCCCTGCACATGGGCCACATTGTCATTCACGTCTTAGAATTGAAAGAGTCATTTGGTAGTATCTAATAGTTGGTGACTCATAATCACCGGGCCCAAAAAGCAATAGGTCTGTTGACATGTTTAGCGGAGAGAAGATATATTAGCAATTTCTCAATGTATACTGTACATAAGAGTTTTATCAAGATTGAACTTATCATATGTACCAGAACTAGATTATTTAGATGAATTATGGCTAGGGCTATTAACTGATATTTATAAATATGTAGGGTAAGGAATAAGCCTCCAACATCTTTTGAAGGAAATAAATCAGATCTCGTTAGTCGGTAACTGAATTTTACTTATTTGTGAATCAAGTTGCTTGGATTGAATCAATTTTTCTATCCAACCATGTAAATTTTGTTTACAACAAGTGGAAAATCTAATTTACTGATCAAGCCTTCTTAAACATACTTAAACTATTTTATTTTATTTAAGTGTTTTGTTTTTTTATTTTCTAATATTGAACCAACAGTCTTTGCAGCACAAGAGCCACATTTTTCTGAGAACGGGGAGGAAGAAGCACTCAAGGTGTACCCTCTTATGGTTTGGGCCTATAGCACTTCACCCCCTCATGGTATGAAACTGAGCACCATAACCACCATATGTTGTTTTTTGGATTAATCTGCTACCAGTCAAAGCATTAAAGCAGACCACTAAAGAAGATGTTTTTCCAACACCATCACCTGATTTTTGGAGTAACATTTTGTATAGAAAATGATCTTCAAGAGCTTGTGGCCTGAGTTACAGCAGTATACGTGAAAATAAACCATAAAACAGTCCAGATATCATTATATGCTTAACAACCACCAACAAGGCAATTCGTCTGTAACAACACAGAATTTTCCAACCCAAATCCGCCAATGCATTATGATTAAAATGTAAGCTAATGACGAGAAGCTGACTTATGTAGTCCACAACCTTGTGGATCAAAAAATTATCTAGGCTAGATCAAAAAATTCACATGTTGCAAGAAAAGTTAAATCGAATTACAAAGGTAAAGCCGTAAAGGTATGTACACAAAAGAAAGAACAAAAATTGAAAGTAATTATCATGATTTGTCTTTTATCGGCCTTGAACAATTGTGACAGTGAGACCGTTTTGACTCTGATCAGAAGAATGTCTCCCTGAAGAAATTCGTCTTTCGGTAAATGCAGGTTGTTTTGGGGAAGGAAGATCTGCAATTTCACTACTAAGCATTGATAGAACAGTCCAAACATTTGGCCTATCTTTTGCAAATTCTTGCACGCATAATAGTCCTACATGTATATATCTCAAGGTCTCCGATCTGATGTTTGTATTGGCCATCAATGGATCTACTAGAGCAATAATCTTATCTTCATTCCACAATTTCCATGCCTGAACAAATTGAGATGAGAATCTAGTGTTGGATTTGGAACATTCAATAAAAACAAGAATGGTAAGGTCTATAAAGATCTGCCTAACTAAAGCAAATGAACCTACAAATCTTAGAAGGCTAAAAGAGTGCTCATCATCATAAAAGCTGGTGTTCCTTCTTCCGGATATAATCTCTAATATCAACACTCCAAAGCTGTAGACATCAAATTTTTCTGAAAATCTTCCCACCATTGCTTTATCAATAAAGTGTGTAGTTCAGTACATTCTACTTCCCAGCTCTTACTGTGTAAAAAGTCTTACTCTTTTTTAAACTTTTAACAGTGGTATCAGAGCCACCGAGTGAAGAGTGAGATAGAGAGTGGCATAGCAGCAGTCCCGGTTTTTCTTTCTTGCAGCAGCAAAAGAGAATGATGTCTTCAGACAATTTTGTGCAGCCAGCCATTCCACGCTTTGATGGTCACTATGACCATTGGAGCATGCTCATGGAGAATTTTTTGAGGTCCAAAGAATACTGGACGGTTGTTGTTTCTGGAGTAGCAGAACCAGCAGAAGGGGTTGTGCTGATAGATGCGCAGAAGACGGAGCTTGAAGGGCTGAAGTTGAAAGATCTCAAGGCAAAGAATTATCTTTTCCAAGCTATTGATCGCCCAATCTTGGAAACAATTCTTTGCAAGGACTCCTCCGAGCAGATTTGGGACTCCATGAAGAAGAAGTATTAAGGGAATGCAAGGGCGAAACGTGTGCAGCTTCAAACTCTTCGTCGAGAGTTTGAGGTTCTTCAAATGAAGCCGGGAGAGTCAGTTCCAGAGTATTTTTCAAAGACGATGGCAATCGCAAACAAGATGCAGGTTCATGGTGATAAGCTTGAGGATGTCACCATTGTTGAGAAGATTCTTCGATCCATGACACCAAAATTTAATTTTGTTGTCTGTTCTATTGAAGAAGCTAATGATGTTGCTGAACTTTCAATTGATGAATTGCAAAGTTCTCTATTGGTTCATGAGCAAAAAACTAACCAACAGGAGAAAGAGGAACAAGCATTGAAGGCCTCATCTGAAAATCACTCTACACCAAATAGAGTTGATAGAGGAGGAGGAGGAGGCAGAGGTCGCTGTAGAGGAGGCAGAGGCAACAATGATCGTGGAAACCAACACCACCACCATCAGAATCAAGAGAATGAATTTCAAGGAAGAGGAAGAGGACGTGGAGGACATCACTCAACTTCTTATCTACCAAAGTCAGCAGATAAGTCCAATGTTGTGTGCTACAAATGTCATAAGTATGGTCATTATCAGTCAGAATGTCGTACAAATTTGAATAAACAAAGTGGCGAAAGAACTAACTTTGCAGAAAAAGAGGAAGAGGTGTCTCTTTTGATGGTCTGTCACGTGAAGGAAGAAACTCAACAAAACATGTGGTATTTAGATACTGGCTACAGCAATCACATGTGTGGGGATAAGAAGCTGTTCTCTGACTTGGACGAATCTTTCCGCAGCACTGTTAAGTTCGGCGACAACTCCACAGTTTCTGTTATGGGAAAAGGGAGTGTAAGTATTCAGACAAAAGGCAATTTCACTCACACTATCTCTAATGTTCTTTTTGTGCCAGTCTTAAAGAGCAACTTGCTTAGTGTGGGTCAGTTGCAAGAAAAGGGTTACAAGATTTCTATCAAAGATGGAGTTTGTCAAATACAAGATGCGAAGATGGGCTTAATTGCTCAAGTTTACATGACGTCGAATCGTATGTTCCCGCTTTATCTCCGCAACACTACTCAAACATGTTGCTCAGCAAAAGTGCAAGATGAGGCATAGCGATGGCATTTTCGCTATGGTCACCTAAACTTTGGTGGTTTGAAGACTCTACAGCAGAAGAATATGGTGATTGGTCTTCCTCAAATTACAGCTCCTTCTGCAGTTTGTGAAGAATGTGTTGTTAGCAACAAACACCGTAATCAATTCCCACAAGGGAAATCATGGAAGGCGAAGGCTGCACTAGAGCTCGTTCATTCCGACATTTGCGGGCCAATAACTCCTTGCTCTAATGGAGGTAAGAGATATGTACTTACTTTCATCGACGATTTTAGTCGCAAAAGCTGGGTTTATTTTTTGCAAAGAGAAGTCCGAAGCCTTTCCAGCCTTTAAAAGCTATAAACCACTGGTTGAGAAAGAAATAGGCAGTTCCATAAAAATTCTTCGCACAAATCGTGGTGGCGAATATAACTCACATGAATTTGCAAGTTTTTGTGAGACTCACGGAATCAAGAGGCAACTTACTGTAGCTTACACGCCCCAGCAAAATGGAGTTTGCAAGAGGAAAAATCGCACTATTATGAATATGGTGCGAAGCCTTTTGTCAAGAAATGGAGTTCCAAAAAGCTTTTGGCCTGAAGCAGTAAATTGGAGTATTCATATTTTGAACAGTATTCATATGCTGTTCAGAATATGACACCAGAGGAAGCATGGAACAGTCGAAGACCAGCGATTGATCACTTCAGAATTTTCGGGTGTGTTGCATATGCCCATATTCCAGATCAGAAGAGGAAGAAGCTGGATGACAAGGGAGAAAAATGTATTTTTCTTGGTGTTTGTGATCAGTCAAAAGCTTATAAGCTCTACAATCCTAACACTAAGAAAATACTTATCAGTCGAGACGTTGCTTTTGATGAAGATCAAATCTGGGTATGGAGCAAAAATGTAGTTGGAAAGCCAATTCCAACTAGTTTTGATGGAGATGATGGTGATGAAGCAAACCAGCCACAGCAATGCCTTGCTCCAGCAACTAATGCATTTGAGAATCCTCAAAATGAAACTCCTGTAGCCTCTGAAGTCACTCCAACAGCACCAAAAGCAGCTGCTGATTCACGTTCTCTTCGTGTTCAAAGGAGGCTAGCATGGATGTTAGATTATGAGGTAACCGGAATTGATCAATCTGAAGACCCACTCACTTATTTTGCTCTATTTTCAGATTGTGATCCTATAGTGTTTGAAAGTGCTGTCAAAGAATCAAAATGGCGGGAGGCTATGGATGCTAAAATTGCAGCCATCGAAAAGAATGACACTTGGGAGTTAGCTGATCCTCCAAAAGGGTACAAAACAATTGGTGTGAAGTGGCTTTACAAGACAAAGCTAAAGGAGAATGGTGAAGTCGACAAGTACAAGGCCCGCTTGGTGGCCAAGGGCTATAAGCAAGAGTTCGGTGTTGATTACAAAGAAATCTTTGCTCCGGTTGCAAGGCATGACACAATCAGATTGGTGATTGCATTGGTAGCTCAAAACTCATGGCCTATTTTCCACTTGGACGTGAAATCGGCATTCCTCCATGGAGATCTGAGAGAAGAGGTATTCATCGATCAACCCCCTGGTTATGTGAAACTTGGCAATGAGCATAAAGTGTACAAGTTAAAAAGGGCTCTATATGGTTTAAAACAAGCTCCATGGGCTTGGTATAATCGTATAGAAGCCTATTTTTTGAAGGAAGGATTTCTCAAATGTCCTTATAAACATACACTTTTCATAAAAATTGAACATGGGGGTAAAATGCTTATTGTCTGTTTATATGTGGATGACTTGATTCACACTGGAAATGATAGTGCCATGTTTGAAAGTTTTAAGAAGTCCATGATAGTAGAATTTGAGATGTCTGATCTTGGCATGATGCATTATTATCTTGGCATTGAAGTGTTGCAATCTTCTACTAGAATTTTTATTTCTCAAAAGAAGTACGTAGGAGAACTCTTGGACAGGTTCCAGATGAAGGATTGTAATCCTGTGAATACACCATCTGAGTTTGGCTTAAAGCTAAACAAAGATAATGGAGGAAAGAGGGTTGACAACACTCTTTACAAGCAGATTGTGGGGAGTTTAATGTACTTGACTGCAACAAGACCTGATATAATGCATGTTGTAAGTGTCATAAGTAGGTACATGGAGTGTCCTACAGAGATTCATCTCTTGGCTGCAAAAAGAATTTTCCAGTACTTGCAAGGTACTAAGGAGTTTGGGCTATTCTACAAGAAGGGAGAAAAATCAGATTTGCATGGCTTCACAGATAGTGATTATGCAGGAGATTCAGAGGATCAGAAAAGCACATCTGGGTATGTTTTCATGTTGGGGACAGGAGCTGTTTCATGGTCATCGAAGAAGCAACCAATCATCACTTTATCAACCACAGAAGCTGAGTTTGTTGCTGCCACTTCATGTGCCTGTCAGGCTATATGGCTAAAGAAAATTCTCAGAGAGCTGCAGTTCAAAGAGGATGGGCCTACTCTCATTTATTGTGACAACTGTTCAACAATAAAGCTCTCAAAGAATCCTGTTCTACATGGTCGAAGCAAGCATATAGATGTGAAGTATCATTTCTCGAGGGACCTCACGAAGGATGGAGTTATTAGTCTAGTTTATTGTAAAAGTGAAGACCAGATTGCTGATGTTCTCACAAAGCCTCTCAAGTTTCCTGTTTTTCAGAAGCTCAGGAAGCTACTTGGTGTTTGCAGCTCAAAGGACTTTATCTGAGAGATGGCACTTCATAATTTGACTCTTGTTAAACTGTTGTTGTGTCTGGAACATCAATTTAAGGGAGGGATTGTTGAATAAATTAGTGGTAGCACGTTAGAATGTGTTGATTTGGGTTGTCCTAGTCTTTAGGAGTTCAGTAGTTTGTTTCTGTTTTGTTTACCCAGTCAGTAGGAGTTTGTTTTGCAGTTGTAGCTGATCCTATTTTCATGCTTTAGTAGTTGATATTTTCTTGCTTCTATCCGTTTGTTTACTAGCCTACATAAAGGCTGTTTGGTTTATCAATATAGTGTATAGTTCAGTACATTCTACTTCCCAGCTCTTACTGTGTAAAAAGTATTACTCTTTTTAAACTTTCAACAGACTCTTGAGACTTAACTCTCATTTTTTTTTTTTTTGGGGGGGGGGGGGGCTGATTTTGAGCTATTCAAATTGTTTTTCCTACATTGAGGTGCTTATATATTGTAAAATTCTACCTTCATAAACCTTCCGCCTTACTTTATGACAAGGTGACCAGCCTTCCATACTAGATGCATCTTTTGTCAAAGAAGATTTGATGTCAGACAAACATTAAACAATTCCACCCCATTTTTTTCTTTAAACTGCCGTGGCCTTTTTCTGACATTGAATTCTTCTCAAGTCACAAATGGCAAAACCCGTGTTTGACTGTTTCTCTGATATTCACAAGTAATACTTTTTTATAAGAGTCTTGAAATATGTAAGAAGGTAACTGGGTCTTCTAAAATAAATGGTTAGTATATGTAGGCGATGGACCCATGTTTTATGCTTCTTAGTTATCAAAAAGCACAAATGCACCGTGTGCATGAAAACTATGTTAAGTAAATTATCAACATAACCCGTAAACTATATCACAGGTTTCAATTGAACCTTTAAGTTAAATTCTGTTCTCAGTTGAACCCCACCTTCTTAATCTGAATCAACGTTCACCTTCCAATCAATTCTGGCAATTTTTTTATAACAAAAGTGACCCACTTGCAACTCATGGATTAAACCAAAATAGTTAGAAAAAACTCACCTGACTTAGTCCAATCCAATCCTCTCTGACATGATTACCCGACCCTCTTCCTCTTCATCTTCCTTTGTTCTGGTGGTTTCACAACCCAAGCACTAACTCTAAACCCGATCACCACCTCCACAGAGTTACCCACAAAGAAGGATCGTAGTTAGTCCAGTAACAGGACCAATGCAGATTAAGACATATATTTTCTGCCTTTCAATTTGAAAGATTCAACCATAAGACCAACTATTTCAAGAAATTTTTTAAGGTACCATATATTATGCAATAAAAACCAAGAAGCATTCCTATTAGGCATAATGTTAAATCCAGTTGGCAAATCATGGAGATAATGCAACGACCATAGGGTCTGATACAGATGCGCCACAAAGCATCAAATTCATCTACATAAAATATACTTTTGGTCTTTCAGATTCTTCCGATGAATTAGCAACTGCCACAAATCCAGCAAAGGCGAAAAAATACCACAGTTGCTCTGACTGTGGTGGTGGATGTAAGAAAGAGAAAACCATTTTGGGGCAAAGGGTAAGAAAAAACGAAACTTTATCTGTGTCAGGGTGGTGGGTAGCGGAGCTGTGGTGGGCGGATTTTTACGGTTAGTGTTTGTGAAGTGCCACCAGAACAAGAAAGAAAGATTATTGGGAAGGAGTGGGAGATTCCAGTTAGTGGGCATTCGAGATTTCCCGTAGAATTTCTAGAAAAAAGAAAATTTAAATTAAGCAAACAAGAGCATCTCCGAGAGAGGTCATTCTAAAATATTAGTTATTTTTCGCCCACGAAAGTATTTGAGTAATAAAAAAGATGACTAATGATAAAAAAATTTATATTCATATATAAAATTAAATTATAAAGATAGAGCATAGAGATAAGAATTGAAGTAACGATTATAGTGTGGGGGCGAGTGATAGTAATGAAGGATGACGGTGATGATTGCGGTGAACGACAACAATTATTATTAATGGTAGTAATTATGGGTGGCAACGGTGATAGTGGTGATGGGGTGATAGGACGGTGGTGGTAGAGGTGATGGCGAGATAGTGACAATGGTGGTAAGTTGACAGTAGCAGCGCCGATTGTAAGAATGATAGTGACAGTGGTAATAAATTTAAAAATAAAATAACGATGATGGTGGATGGTGACGGTTAGGGTGGTGGTGGGGGTAGTCATGGGGTGGCAACAGTTGTGGTGGTCATAGTAATAGTGATAGTGGTGGGGGGTGATAGTGGGATGATGGTGGTAGGACGGTAGAGAGTGGCGATGGTGGTAAAGTGACAATAATGGTGATAGTTTTTGTGAAAGAGGTGGCGACAGCGGTAGTGATGGTGGCGATTGTGTATAGCATATATGGGGGTTTGGTGGAGGCGGCGATGGTGATGGTGGTGGTGGTAGTGGTGGTAGTCGTGGTGGTGGTGGGGCGGTGGGGGGGATTGTAGTGGTGGGACGGTTTCAAATGCCATTTTTAAAAAAAAAAAAATACTTATGAAAATTATAAATTTTAGAAGTACTTTTAAAAAGTTATATTAAACATACCCTAGAGTCCTATTTTTCTAATTAAATTTGGAATGTTAATAATAGCCATTAAATTAACTTTAAAATAAAATTTTAAAATGATCTCAACCGCAAAAAGTAAAAATTATTTTGTTTATCTTTCGAAATTTGAATTGTACTGTACTTTATTATATAGATTATAAATTTTATATAAAAAATAGTATATATTTTATTAAAACTAAAATTTTCATTAAACTTAACTAATATAAATTTAAACGACAATTAAAAGTACAATTCTAAAACATAAATTATAACTACATTATATGTTTATACATAAAATAAATTGTATTAAACAACTAACAACTTTATTAAAAAGATTTGACATATTTATTGTGATATATCAAATTTATTTTTGTCCAATAAAAAATTGACATACTGATTAAAAAAGTCTTACCTACCAAAAAGAGTTAATAGAGCCTCTACCTGGCATTTGGGTCATACCTGTTGGTGATGATCCGAGTCCCACTCAGATGCTCATTCATTCAATCTCAATTTTGTGAGCCAGGAATTTAATTAAGGGTGCTTACTCTTACTCAAATTTGAGTTAAAAAAAAAAAAGTTAAAAGTTTGATTCGGTATAAACATCTCTAATGAAAAACTCAAATTTAAAGGAAAACAAACCCGAGGACTAACCCAAATTTAAAAAAGGGAAAATATGATTATTTCTCATGAGCCACATTTTTTCTGAGAAGTGGGAGATCGAGGTGAAAAAATATTGAATATAACGGTGACACCACCTTATTACCGTCATATGGTGTCACCATCCAATTAGAATACTATACTAGTTAAAGTGAATCTTATTAATTTTATATATTAATGATTAGATGTGATAATTATATGTAATTATAAAAATAGTAAGATTCATTTGTCTACTTGTAATCTTCTAATTAGATGGTAACAACACGTGGTATTACCATTACGGTCAATATTTACTCGAGTTGAGGTAGAGGCAGTCGAAGCTTACACTCTTATGGTTTGGACCCATAGCACTTCACCCCCTCATAGTATGAAACTGAGCACCATAACCACCATATTTTTTTTTTTTGGGATTAATCTGCTACTGTTACAAATTTTCCGTCCAAATTGACGATTCTTCCCTTCATCTCCTCCCTCTCTCCGCAGCAACGTCTCTCTCCCTCATGCCAACCACCAGTCAAAGCATTAAAGCAGACCACTAAAGAAGATGTTTTTCCAACACCTCCTCCTGATTCTTGGAGTATCATTTTGGATAGAGAATGATCTTCAAGAGCTTTTGGCCCGAGTCACAGGACTACTCTTAAAATGAGCATGGTTAGTCAACTAAAACAAGCTAAAGGTGGTGAATTGCGACAAAATGTAATACAAGCTTTTAATTAAAACTACTGGTACAGTTTACCTTCTTTTGGATCATTTACTCTTATAGGATGAATGGTGGTTGGCAATCTGTTATGATGGAACAGAACTATGGGAGGTTGATATATGGAGGGAATGGATAAGGCTTACCGCATTATATTGAAATGTAGTCTAACGCTGAGCAGTTGTCTTATGTAGTTCACAGCCTTGTGAATCAAAAAATTATCTAGGATAGATCAAAAATTCATATGTTGCAAGAAAAGTTAAATCGAATCACAAAGGTATGTACACAGAAAGAAGAATAAAAATCAGAAATAATGATCGTGATTTGCCTTTTATCGGCCATCAACTATTGTGACAGTGAGCTCATTGATAGAACACTGGTTTTGACTCTGATGAGAAGACCGTCTCTCTGAAGAAATATGTCTTTCGGTAAATGCAGGTTGTTTTGGAGAAGGAAGATCTGCAATTTCACTACTAAGCATTGATAGAACAGTCGAAACATTTGGCCTATCTTTTGCAAATTCTTGCACGCATAATAGGCCTACATGTATGTATCTCAAGGCCTCCAATCTGATATTTGCATCAGACATCATTGGATCTATTAGTTCAACAATCTTATCTTCATTCCACAATTTCCATGCCTGAAGACATTAAGACGAGAATGAAGTATTAGATTAGAACATTCAATTTCAACTGGAGTGGTAAGGCTGGTAAAGATCTACCTTACTAAAGCAAGTGAACTTACAAATCTAAGAAGGCTCAGAGAGTGCTCATCATCATAAAAACTGCTGTTTCTTCTCCCAGATATAATCTCAAATATCAACACTCCAAAGCTATAGACATCAGATTTTTCTGAGAATTTTCCTTCCATTGCATATTCGGGAGCCATATAGCCGCTGCAGTATATTCATTCAGCATAAAAAGTAAAATAAATATAATGAAGTTGTATTATTGCCAAAGAAGTTTACCCCATGGAAGATCATGAAGCAATTTGGACAAAGATTTCTACTTACTACCAACTACCCTTCTAGTATTGGCTTGATCTTGGTTGCCTCCAAAAATCCGTGCCATACCAAAATCTGAAATCTTTGGGTTTAGCTGTTCATCCAATAAAATGTTGCTCGGTTTCAAATCTCTATGAATAATTCTTAATCTGGAATCTCTATGAAGGTAAAGCAGGCCACGACCAATCCCTTCGATGATGTTTACACGTTTACTCCAATCAAGGAGTTCCTGTTTTAGTGAATCTGAAAGTTCCATTTATGAAAGAAGTGAGGAAAGGTGGTAAGTTAAAGGAAATTGATGTTCAGAAGCCTATTATCTTTTGAGTGCAATGAAGTTAATAGTAATGCAGAGGCAATAACTTAAAAAGAACTGCAATGATTTTGAACTAACTGAAAAGAAATGCATCCAAGCTTCCATTTGGCATGTATTCATAAATCAACATCTTTTCTTCTCCTTCTATGCAGCAGCCAAGGAGTCGAACAAGATTGCGATGCTGGAGTTTAGAAATCACAATAACTTCATTCATTAACTCCTCCAACCCTTGTCCAGAGGATCTTGAAAGTCTTTTCACAGCTATTTCTTGTCCATCTAGCAGTTTTCCCTGAAAATAACTAAATAAGAGCCATCAATTCGATATGGTTCTATACGGCATAAAACTAAGATGAACTAGCATTACCTTGTATACTGGACCAAAGCCACCCTGACCTAGCTTATTAGCAGAATGAAAGTTCTCTGTTGCATTTGCCAAATCCTCAAAACTGTATAGTGACAGCTCTTCAAGTCCAATTTGGTGGGTATTCTCTTGAAGCAAATTTTCAGTAGAATACTCCGGATACAGTTCTGCCCTTCTAAATAATAATCGCTTACTTTTCTGCTTCCTCCCTGATGCCAAAACTATTAGTCATGTTTTTTTTTGGGCAATGAGGATTTCTCTATACTTCTGAGCTAATTCTTAGAAACAAATTACCTCTGTGTTTGGCAATCCACCTCCAAGAACAGTATATGCAGATGGCAATGGTTACTGATCCTATGCTTATTGTAGTTGCGAGAACTGTTTTCATGCTCTTCTTTTCATCTGCAAAATAGAAGACACTCTTTAGAGATTTCAGTATAGAATGAACAAATGGATTAAGGTTACATTTGGATGGATGGCTTTGCAAAAAGAAAACTACTGTAAACAGTTTGAAACAGAATCAATATGCACCAACTTTCCAGTTGACATATATTCCCTCAAATCCAATGGACATGATATATAAGAATTCTGACTCAGCAAATAAACATGTGACAAAAGGAAAAGAGGTTAAGTAGAAGCAGAGGTGGAATTCACTAGTGACAAAACATATTACCAAGCTCTGAATATGCCACTCGAACGTAAAGATCCGCCCCACCATCCGGGAATTTCTGGATGTCAATTAGACTTCCACTCCATTGCATACACCCAATTCCAGAGTAATATGAATAAGCTGTACATGAACAGTTATTCAAGCACAGGCTTCCACAATTGTCTTCTAGAGCAGGTGACCACACCTCAAAATCTGGTACTTTTACTCTTTCAAGCTTCAAAAATCCATCCTCTTTGCCCTTTTCATTGACGGTATTGTTTCTATCAAATTGCAATGGTGTCTTTCTTATGCATCCACTAGACCAATTTCGTCTACTCCATTCCTCCTTATGCTTTGGCTCAAATCCTCTTAAACAGGTACAAATTGGTGAATTCAGTGAATTACAGCTTCCAAATGGACCACACTTGTCATAAACATCACACTCATTTTCTGGCAGCGACCACAACACGTTCCAGTCCTCTTTCCCAACAAACCGATACTTCTCCTGTAGAGTTCCTTCAGTATTCAAGAACGTGTAGACTACCATGGACTCGTTGTCAAAGTTTGGAGTTAGATAAACAGTTCCTTTTTTGTCGTCGACAATATTAATTCCAGTGTTATATGATCTACGCATTATTGGAACTCCAATAAAAACTTGACCATTCCAAGGACCACTACGCCAGTATGGATGACTACCATTCCATACAAAAAACTGCGGGATGATTAGAGGATCAATTCCGGCAGAGAAAGATCCAATGGATGGATCCGAGGGACTTTTCCATGATGTCAGCAGAGTCCTCTCACCTGTCTTTGCATCAGTACTAACTGTCATCTTCTGTAAGAATGAGTCCGAAGGATGTTGAAAACTCTCCCATATGATCCTTCCACTAGAGTTGTCTCGTAAGACAAGGTTCCCGGTATCCAGAAGCTGGGCACTCGAATTGGCCACTGGATTTGAAACATTTGATGACCAAATGATCCCTTTCTGCCCATTTAGGATTACCAGATTGCCATCCTCGGATATTGTCAAAATCCCAGATGAATCATTCAGAGACTTATCTCTATTAGCAACCCATACCGCAGTTGTTGCAGGGATGTTATCCAAGATACCAACATAACGATTTGTAGAATTTCCAGGACTAAAGAATCCAAGTTTGAAGGTATTTCCAATGGAGACTATAGTTTCAGGGTCTTTGATGAATTGTGTGGGTGTAATTGTGTCTATGGAAGTGCAAACCTCTAACAAAAAACATAGAAGTACGAGAACAAGGCCATGAAAAAGTAAAAAGTTCGAATTACCGGAAAGTGCCATATGTGATCTGAGTGCTTGTTGGTGAGGAGGGAAGGCGATATGTGACTTCTATAGACTTCCATGAACAATGTTTAATTTTCCTCACTTCTTCATGCTTTTCAAAGATCTGGAAGATATTTCCATTCTTTTGTGGAAATCTGGTTCACCTGAAAATATGTCTCCAAACTGTTATCTTGGCGTGTGGGGTATCCCAAAAGTCATCTTTGAATCTAATTCACACACAAAAAAAAATGATTGACATTTGGAAGATTTTTCTCATAATTGGGAGGTAGAGGCACTTAAGGTCCACTACATCCTTTTTACGTATTTGTTTTACTAGTTGGTGTTATTAATTGGTCCACACATGTGTTGTCATTGTCATTCATTGTCATGTCTTTGCTTGCTGACACTGAATTCTTCCTTCTTTTTAAGTCACAAATGACAGCGCCCGTGTTTGATTGTTGCTCTGATTTTCGCAAGTAATACTTTATTATAAGAGTCTTGAAATATGTAAGAAGGTAACTGGGTCTTCTAAAATAAAGGGTCAACGTTTACCTTCCACTCAATTCTGGCAATTTTTTTTCTAACAGAAGTGACCCACTTGCAACTCATAGATTAAACCAAAATAGTTAGGAATTCGGATGAAAAAACTCACCTGACCCAGTCCAATCCTCTGAACATGATTACCCGACCTTCTTCCTCTTCTTCTTCCATTGTTCTGGTGCATTCACAACCCAAACACTAACTCTAAACCCCACCACCACCACCACACTGTTACCCACGAAAAGGGTTGTAGTAAGTCCAGTAACAGATTCCAAGAATTTTTTTAACGTACCATTTATTATGCAATAAAAACAAGAAGGCTTCCAATTAGGCATAATGTTAAATCCAGTAGGTATATCATGGAGATAATGCAAACGACAATAGGGTCTGCTACAGATGCGCCACAAAGCATCAAATTCATCTACATAAAACATACCTGTGGTCTTTCAGATTCTTCAGCTGAATTAGCAACTGTCACAAATCCGGCATAGGCAAAAAATACCACAGTTGCTCTGACTGTGGTGGTGGATCTAAGGAAGAGAAAACCATTTGGGGGCAAAAGGTAAGAAAACCGAAACATTATCTGAGTCAGGGTGGCGGAGTGGTGGTGGTGGTGGGCGGATTTTATGGTTAGTGTTTGGGTAGTCTGAGTCAGGGTGGCGGAGTGGTGGTGGTGGTGGTGGTGGGCGGATTTTATGGTTAGTGTTTGGGTAGTCCCACCAGAACAAGAAAGAAAGAAGATGGAGAAAGAAAGAAGATGGGGAAAGAAAACAGATGTTCAGTTTAGTGGGTATTTTAGATTTTTCGTATAATTCCAAAAAAAAAATTAAAAAATTGGATTAAGCAAAAGAGTTTATGTGCAGCAATCGTGTCCGGTCACGTTATTTACAACTTCGGATTATATACATTTCAATTCTATTTCAACTCATTTAATTAATCGTGTAGTGTCGATCTGACTTATTTATTTTTGTATTATATTGGGTCATATAACCTACGAATACTAAGGTTTTATTATCACTTAATTGATCGTACACTCATATTTTTTCTAAAAACTAAAAATAATTTAATAAATATCATAACAAAAATAAATAAAAATATCTTTTTGTTGTATACTTAATAAAAAATTTGATATTTTATTCATATAATACTAGTTAAACGTGTTATTTGTATTTAACATTATTCAACTCATTTATTATTTGTGTTTTTAAGTCGTGTCATTTACACGATGATGTCGAGAAATGGTCAACTCTAACCCTCTAATTTTATATCAATTTCGAGTCTTGTTTTTCACGTTGTTCAGAAATTGTCACTCTTATTAGTCCTACTCATACGCCAATTCATTCAATCTCAATTCCGCAAGCCAAGAATTTATTTAAGAGTGGACACTTTAATAACAAGTTATAATTTTTATTCCTTTCCAATGAGTCAACAAAAATTCATCATGGTGCATACAATAACAAGTTTGAAAGAGTTCTAATATATCGGCTTTTCCAACACCATCACCTGATTTTTGGAGTATATAGAAAATGATCTGTAAGAGCTTGTGGCCTGAGTCACAGCAGTATACCTGAAAATAAACTACAAAACAGTCCAGATATCATTATATGCTTAACAACCACCACTAAGGCAATTCATCGAACACCTGGGAATCAACTTCACACAATATACATGTCCCCAACTCAACAACCCCCTCTAACGGGGATTGTGGTGATATTAGTTGAGATGAACAAAATAACAGAGATTTCAAGATACAATTTATGCAATCCGCTAGATAAAAAAATTCACATGCTGCGAGGAAAGTTAAAATCAAATCACTAAGGTATGTACACAGAAAGAAGAACAAAAATAAAAAATAATTATCATGATTTCCCTTTTATCGGCCTTTAACAATTGTGACAGTGAGATTGTTGATAGAACACTGTTTTTGACGTTGATGAGAAAGTTGTGTCTTTGAAGACATCTGTCTTTCGATAAATGCAAGTAATTTTGGAGAAGGAAGATCCGCAATTTTACTACTAAGCATTGATAGAACAATTGAAATATTTGGCCTATCTCTTACAAATTCTTGCATGCACAATAGTCCTACATGTATATATATCAGCATCTCCGATCTGATGTTTGTATTAGGCATCATTGGATCTACTAGAGCGATAATCTTATCTTCATTCCACAATTTCCGTGCCTAAACACATAAATATGAGAATCTAGTGTTGGATTTGGAGCATTCAATAATGACAAGAATGGTAACGTCATAAAGATCTATCCTAGCAAAGAAAATGGACTTACAAATCTTAGAAGGCTAAAAGAGTGCTCATCATCGTTAAAGCTTGTGTTCCTCCTCCCAGCTTTAATCTCTAATATCAACACTCCAAAGCTGTAGACATCAAATTTTTCTGAAAATCTTTCATCCATTGCATAGTCAGGGGCCATATATCCGCTATGTATATCAATTTACCATAGAAGGTAAAAGAACTGTAAGGAAGTTGGATTATTGTATGACAAGAAAGTTCATCACACGGAGAAAGATACATATAAATACTATGTTCTCACAACCCTTCTAGTATTGGCGTGATCTTGGTTACCTCCAAAAATCCTTGCCATGCCGAAATTTGAAATCTATGGGTTTAGCTCTTCATCCAACAAAATATTACTCGGTTTTAAATCTCTATAAATAATTCTTAATCTGGAATCTCTACGAAGGTAAAGCAGGCCACGACCAATCCCTTCAATGATGTTGATGCATTTACCCCAGTCTAGGAATTTTTGTTTCAATGAATCTGAGACATTTGTTTTTGAAAGGACAAGTATGAAAAGTTTGTAAGCTGTAAGGAAATTAAAGTTGAGAAGACTGTCATACTTTTTAGGCAAGGAAGTCAATAGTAATATAGAAAGCAATAACATAACAATTACTGGTGATTATAATTGACCAAAAAGAAAAGCATCCAAACTTCCATTTGGCATGTATTTGTAGATCAATATCTTTTCTTCTCTTTCTATGTAGCAGTCAAGGAGTTTGATGATACCTCAAACAAGCCCTAGTTGTGAGCTCAGGTCAGGAGGTCAGGAAAGACACGAGAAATTCAGAGAACCAGGGGTGGAGCTCCCCTTGGGGAGATCGTAGCTGAACCGACCAGGAAACAATTGGATGACTGCGAAAATTGGGCCTCATGCATGAAACTCTCAACCAACCAAGATTCTCTCCTAGAATCAAGGAGGATCCCATGAATAATGGGCAAAGATCTCGGCCAAATCTTACGAAATAGGGGGCAGCCTTATAAATACTATATAACCCCTCATTGAGAGAGAGAAAACCATATTCAGATTGTGCACTGCCTTGTATTACATTCAAATAATCAATAGAGAAGAAAAGGAGCAAGAGCCTCCATTGAAAAGTGGATTAGCCGAGCTCCTGGGCCGGTGAACCACTATATTTTCACTGTGTACACCCCTTTAATCCCCTCAGTATTTCACTACAGCATCACACACAAACCTTGTAGCTCGGATCCAAGCTTATCACACGTCACCTGCACCTTTTGCTCATCCACGTTGATTTACACCATCAATTTGGCGTCATCTGTGAGAACGACTGTTCCTGTTACAAATAAACTGTTCTTTCAGTGACTGATGATGTCAACACGAAACATGAGTAGAAGCCAAACAAACCCATCTCGGATGCAGGACCAACAGGGAGCCACCAATGGCAGACAGCCCGAGAACGTCCCAGAGACTGATCCTCCCATGGGGAATCCCCTCACAAATAACGAGATGGAGGCCCTTCGCCTTGTCAATTAGCGCTTGATAAAGTAAAACGAGGAGTTCTTGAAGCTCTTACAGCGCCCACAGGAGGCACGTCTGGCCCAAGAAGGTCAGAACAGTCCCCACTACAGGGATCAACAACACCTTGATCTACTCAGAGAAGACAATGAAGGGGGGAGAATAGCTAGACCTTGGGGCAAGTTCCCCAACTACCCCTAGGAACGGCCACAATGAGGAAGTACAAAGTCAAAACTATGAAGGTGAAAAGAATGATGTCTTCCCTTATCAGCAGGAGATAAGGGAACAATTTTGGGAACAACGCTTCAAGGGCATCCAACAGGAGCTCATCCACATGAAAGAAGCAGTCAGAAGTAAAGCTCCAGTTACAATGGACGCCTTGGTACAGCAGACTGAATCTCCATTCACGCCTGGGGTGTTGCATTTTTTGTCCCACTAAAGTTCAGGATGCCACAGATAGAGTCATTTGATGGAACCAGGGACCCCATGGACCACCTCAATACTTATAAGAACCAGATAAAATTGCACGGGTATTAGGACCCCCGTACGTTGTCGAGCTTTTCCCATCACTTTGAAGGGTTCAGCCTTGGCGTGGTTTAACAGGCTCCCCCCGGCCTCAATCTTTTCCTTCAAAAAGCTTTCCATTTCCTTCGTATCACACTTCATAAGGGCTCGAACCTATAGAAAGCCGAGCTATCACCTTTTGAATGTAAAACAGAAACCACAAGAAAACCTCAGGTCGTATGTCCAAAGATTTAATTCAGAGTCGTTAAAAATGGATGTCCCAGACGAAAAGTTCGCCATCACTGCCTTTATAGCTGGTCTAGGGGTGCAGTCTAAAGATTTGATATTCTCCACATCAAAAAATTCCCAAGCAAGCATGGTCGAGGTGCTTGCCAAAGCGAAGAAATACATAAACGGCGAAAAAGCTCTTCTTTCTAAGATAGGGAGCTTTTCCGCACATACAGACAATGGAAAGAAAGAGAAAAAGAGGAACCGAAGTCCTAGGAGAGATAGGGAAAGAAACAGATCTCCAAAGAGAGATAGATTTTCCAAAAGAGACAAAGAACGATCCCCAAAAAGAAGGGGAACGTTAGGGATCGCTTGGGCCCCTCGCAGCCTGAACTACAGTTGAGGTATGCACCTCAGCAATATACCCCTCTCACTGCGACAGTGTCCCATATCCTATACGAGGTGCAGAACAAGAAATTCTTAAGGTGGCCTCCACGAATGAAGGTAGATCCGTCTAAAAGAAACCGTACAAAATATTGCGAGTATCATAGGGATCATGGTCATCATACCAACGATTGCATCCAACTAAAGCAGAAGATCGAGTTCTTGATCTAGAGGGGACAGTTACGACGATTTGTCACCCATGACAACCAAAACAGGGCTCCACCACCACCGGCACCCCAGTAACAAGCCCCTGCGCAGCACCAGCAACCCATAGGGGAGATCAGAGTGATATCTGGAGGATTTTCTGGCGGTGGAGAATCCAATGCAGCCAGGAAGGCACACCTGCGCAGGATCAGAGCTGGCGAAGCGCTGAAAGTACATATCGTGTCCAAAATACCTCGGCTAAGCACAACCATCACTTTCTCGGATTCAGACTTGGAAGGCTGTCAGTATTCCCATGATGATCGGTTGGTCGTAAGGGCCATTTTGGCAAACCAAACTGTTCATCGAGTTCTAATTAACAATGGGAGCTCGACCAACATCACTTTCGCCTCTACCTTTGACAAAATAGACGTAGGAAGGGAGAAGCTTAAGCCAGTGAATGCTCACTTTATGGGGTTCTCAAGGGAGAGGGTGCTACCCTTGGGATCCATCCAACTCGTGCTCACTATGGGGGACCCTCCTTGTCAAGCCAGCACCAATGTGAAATTCCTGGTAGTTGACGCCCCTTCTGCGTACAATATACTACTTGGGAGACCATCCCTCA